TGCCATATTTCCTGTATTAATACAATGTTAAACTATATTGGTATAACCTAATCCCATAGTCTGATCTTCTTCCAATATATCTATAGCGAAAATATCATGGTTTTTAACTAATAATTCACGAGCTTCTTGTTGCTGTTTAGCAATAACTTCAGATTTAATATTGTAACTTATTTTCTGATCATCTTGGTTTAAACCTTCCATAGATTTGGCAAGACATATAGTTGGACTTTCCAAGGGTTATAATACAGATCACCTTCTGATTTAGTACTTATTTTATCCGAAAAAAAGGTTTTCAATTCTTCTTTTTCATCCAATTCATTGATCCATTGACCTCATCAAAGTCATCTTCATTTTTTTCGAATAGTATTGGCGGAATAATGTTGGTATGTGTAGTATTGATAGTTGCCTGTTTACTATAATACTTAATATACAATATCTGTCTTCTAAAATCTAAAGTTGTACTTGATTTATTAAACCAATCAGTCCTTAATAATAGGGTTTCATCCTTCGATTTTATCACCTGTAGGTCTATCAGTATAATGATATCTTGTAAAGTGATTTTTACATTTTTGACTATTCCTTTGGCTTTAGACCTGCCTCTATTTGCCATTATAACTACTGTTTTTGATTCTTTGGTAAATTCCAATCCTAATCTTTTTATCACTTGTCAGTAATAATATTCACTGCAGTTTCAGAATCCAAAATAGCTACTACAGAATTGCTGTTGATTCTTACATAGTATCTTATAGCCACAGTCTTTTGTACTTTATTTGTTTTGATTCGATTAGCTTCAGTGGGTGGCTGGCAGTTTTTTCTTTTTAATACTTTTGCCAAATTTCGTCACTAATTCTGATGTTGAAGTATTTGTCTGTACGTAGCATTAACCCAGATATTCAATAAATCTTTCGATATATCGTATGAATCCAATTTATCTACTATCGATGGTAACCGCTTTTGAATTATTCTCTTTGATTATATTACAGAGGCTTGTTGAGGTTGTATCCAGTGTTGGAAATTGTATATTCACAGTATTCATATGAACATATATTTTTTAAAAAAACAAAGTTTTTCCTATTGTGAACATAGAAAATCATATTTGTGAATATAAAAATTTTTTTGAATTTCCAACACTGGTTGTATTTGGCTCTTTTTCACGTCTATTAGAACACTTGTTGATGATTGTAGTTTAGATACTATCATCCAATATCTCTGTTCTTTATATGATTCTGCCTGTTTTTGTTTAGCTTCTCTATGATCTTTTGTATATGGCTAAGTTCTGGCATTATTAGTAACATATACTATTTCTTCATTATCTTCCAGATTATATTCTGTATCGATATAACTAATACTTTTAGGATGATTATTGTCTTGTTGTTTTTGTCATGCATTTGATTCTCTAGGCTTCTTTTCTGATATACAATTTCGAGTGAAATATCCTATTTCACCACAATGGTAGTATATTAGCTCTAATTTAACTTTGGTAAGCTTGTTAGTCTCAGTTTGTACCTGAGCAATAAGTGCCAATGCAATTGTGATATAATTAAGTGATATTTGTTGTATTTGTTAGATAAGAAACTTTATATTTTTCTCCAAATTTCTAGATCCGCTTGCTTGTACCAGATCAGCTTGTGTAGTGAAATCTGTATTTTCTTTATGTAGTCTTGCAAAATTTAAAATTCCATTAAAATCTGTGGGTTTGTATATCATGATGATAGATAATATTTCTAGTCTCAGTCCTTTTTTAAAATAGAGCAACTTTTGAGAGTCAGTGAAATTTCTGTCGATTTCAACACATTTCGCTAATTGATTAAATCAACTCAAGTAAGTATCAATAGGTTTGTTTGGATTCTGTTTTAACATTTCTAATTCTCTCAACTATTTATTTTTCTATCGTTGAGTACAGTACTGTTCTTTAAAAGCCTTTACAATACTGTTTCAATTAGCTTTATGATCCATGGTAGATAGTGTAGTTTTTGCGAAATAAACATGTTGCTATTCATCTGCATTATTTCATATAAATGCTAGAAAAATATTTCTCTTTCTTTTATGATCCCAATTATTAGCGGTGATGGCTTTCTCGAAGCTCTTAATCCATGTATAAGGATTCTGAATACCATCTCCATAAAATAGATCTACTTTCAAAAGAGTGGATTTTTTGGGGTTATTCTTCAAATAGTCCAAAATGTTTTAACTAGTAATCATCATAGATATATTACTCGAATTATTATTTTGAGACGATATAAGTAAAAACAAGTCTATTTTAAAATACTGAGTATAATTTGCAACTGATAATATTAATTTAATTATTTCTAATAAGTTGCCTAAGTCTTTACTATAACTAATACTATGAATTATTTTAAAAATAGTATTTTTGCAAGAAGTTGATTCTGCTTGGCTATAAATTTTTTCGAATTTATTGGAAGAAGATCAGACTATGGGATTAGGTTATACCAATATAGTTTAACATTGTATTAATACAGGAAATATGGCA